CTGGCCACCGCCTCTGCCTCACCTGCGCCCGCGCAAGCGTTGCAGCCGCGCGCGGGCCTACCTTGCACCAGCGCCGCCCCTGGAGCAGCCGCCCCTGGAGCAGCCACCCCTGGCCACTGGAGCAGCCGCCCCTGGTGCAGCCGCCCCTGGACCTCAGCAGCCGCCCCTGGACCTCAGCAACCGCCCCTGGACCCCGCGAGCCGCCCCAGCAGCAGCCCACGGCGCCGACCTTACAGCTGTATGCGCCGCCGCTCCTGGACTCGGTACGGCTGCCTGCCTGTGCTGCCCGTTGCCACCCGTTGCTGCCCGTGCCTGTGCTGCCTGTTGCCGCCCGTTGCTGCCCGTGCCTGTGCTGCCTGTTGCTGCCCGTGCCTGTGCTGCCCGTTGCTGCCTGTTGCTGCCTGTGCTTCTGCTGCCCGTTGCTGCCCGTGCCTGTTCTGCCCGTTGCCGCCCGTTGCTGCCCGTGCCTGTGCTGCCTGTTGCCGCCCGTTGCTGCCCGTGCCTGTGCTGCCTGTTGCCGCCCGTTGCTGCCCGTGCCTGTGCTGCCTGTTGCTGCCCGTGCCTGTGCTGCCTGTTGCCGCCCGTTGCTGCCTGTGCCTGTGCTGCCCGTTGCTGCCCGTTGCTGCCCGTGCCTGTGCTGCCCGTTGCTGCCTGTTGCTGCCTGTGCCTGTGCTGCCCGTTGCCGCCCGTTGCTGCCCGTGCGTGTGCTGCCCGTTGCCGCCTGTTGCTGCCCGAGCCTGTGCTGCCCGTTGCCGCCCGTTGCTGCCCGTGCCTGTGCTGCCCGTTGCCGCCCGTTGCTGCCCGTGCCTGTGCTGCCCGTTGCCGCCCGTTGCTGCCCGTTGCCGCCCGTTGCTGCCCGTGCCTTTGCTGCCTGTTGCCGCCCGTTGCTGCCCGTGCCTGTGCTGCCTGTTGCTGCCCGTGCCTATGCTGCCTGTTGCCGCCCGTTGCTGCCTGTGCCTGTGCTGCCCGTTGCTGCCTGTTGCTGCCCGTGCCTGTGCTGCCCGTTGCTGCCTGTTGCTGCCTGTGCCTGTGCTGCCCGTGCCTATGCTGCCCGTCGCCGCCCGTTGCTGCCCGTGCCTGTGCTGCCCGTGCCTATGCTGCCCCTGCTCTTCCCCCTCCCCCTTCTTCGTCTCCCTGCTGCGCGTGCAGCCGTGGAACAGAGGCTATGGGGGTGGCGGGTATGGGGGTGATGGGTGTGTGTGATCCCCTTCCCCTCCTCGTCCTTTCTCTCCCACTGCTGCAACTGCTGCTGGGGGGGGTGGGTGTGAGGGTGTGGGGGAGCTGGGGGAGAGGTGCTAGGGTTGTCCAGGAGTGTGGAAAGGGGAGTTGGAGGACTGAGGAAGGTTCCAGGAAGCAGCTGCCTTGGAGCCAGCAGCTTCACCTGCCAGCAGCTTCTCCTCATATAATCCCTCCTCCTCACTTGCCCTCTCCTCCTGCTGCGCTTGGTGTACCCCTTCAGGGGGTGTCTCTGCATTAGCTTCTGCTGCACGCAGTTATGGGGGAGTGTCAGAATATATCTGTAACTGCCTGTAGCTGTAGTTAGTGTAGTTATTATAAACTTTGTTTGGTGGTGCACCTTCTTTGTTCCTTTGCTATATGTTCTTGCAAACCTATAGTGAAGTCCCATTCTCTCCTTTCAACTTTCTCGACATTCATCTTCAACCCTAAACCTAAGCTACTAAGACACTCACTAGCAATGGCTCCTAAGCCTAACTCACGCTAGTATCTCAACATGTCGGTGCCGTATAATAGGTATGTCGGTGGGAAAAGTAGGAAATAAGAGAAATCAATAGAAGGCTCTAGAAAATAGAATAGTAGGCCGATTGAGATGAGATAAAGACCAAAATAAAGAGGAGAAAAGGGAGAATAGGATAACGGAAAAATATAATAGTGAGAAAATATTATAACGGGGACGTCCTCCCACAACGGTAGAGATGAAGAGGCGGGCTCTTTCTTCGGCTGTGATTGATTTTTTGCAGGCTGCGAAGTGTGCCATTTTCGTCAGTCGATCGACGACGACCAAGATCGCGTCATTTCCACTCGCCCCGGCCGGTAACCCCGTGACGAAGTCCATCATCACCTACTGTCAAGCATGCTCTGGAGGTGGGATTGGCTGCAACTGTCCCGTCGGCCGCTTCCGGGTTGACTTCATGATCTGGCAAGTGGGACACGATGCCACGTGTCGCTGCACGTCGGTCAACATTTCGGGCCAGTAATAATACCGCTGCAGCTGCTGCCGTGTTTTCTCTACCCCAAAATGTCCCGAGGTAACTCCGTCATGTGCCTCCTGTAATAATAATTCCCGTAGCAGTGTGTATCCTGGTACCCAGATGCGCTCGGTCCCGGCTTTTACGTAATAGACTCCCTTGGCGGCTACGAACTGGTGCGAATTTCCTCCTGTGAAGAATGGGTCCGTTTGATATCCGTGGGTAAATAGTCCTGTTAGTAGTGGGCTGGTCTGGGCGAGTAGTATCGCGTGGATCTGGGCAGTGGGGCGGGTCAGTGCGTCGGCGATGTTCGAGGCTCCTTTTTTATAGGTGACTGTGTAGTGGAAGTTTGACTCGAGGAAATCGAGCCACCGAATTTGTCGTGGGTTGAGGTGGGGCTGTGCGCGGAGGTACTGTAGTGATCGGTGGTCTGTCCATACTGTCACGTCTGCGCCGGTCAAGTAGCAGCGCCACACTTTGAACGCAGGCACGATCGCGAGCATTTCGCGGTCGTGTATCGGGTAATTTCGTTCGGGCGGATGCAGTTTTTGTGACTCGTATGCGATGGGTTGTAGGCCGTTGCCGAAGTCCTGTAGCAGTACGGCTCCGATGGCGATGTCGCTTGCGTCTGTAACAACCTCGAAGGGGCGGTGTGGGTCGGCGATGCGCAGGACGGGCGGTGAACAGAGAACATTTTTCAGGGCAGAGAAGGCAGCATGCTCTTTCTCCCCCCACGTAAAAACGACCCCCTTGCGCAGTAAATCCGTCAGCGGGGCGGTCAATTGTGCCATGTCGGGGACGAACCGACGAACATAATTAACGAACCCTAAAAAACTCTGCAGTTCCGTGATGTTCGTCGGGGGACGCCACGCTTTGACCGTATCCAGCTTCTTTGGGTCGATTTCAACTCCAGCCTCCGAAATAACGTGCCCCAAAAATTCTAGTCTGTCCCGAAAAAACTCGCACTTAGAGCCCTTGGTGAGTAACCGATGTTCCTCCAAAACTTTAAATACTGCTTCGAGATCCGCTAAGTGCTGCTGCTTGTCGCGACTGTAGACGAGGATGTCGTCGAGGTAAACTATCACGCATTTATCTAAGAGTGGCCTAAACGCCTCGTTCATGGTCATCTGAAATGTTGCGGGCGCGTTGGTAAGCCCGAAAGGCATCACCGTGTACTCAAACGACTCGTACCTAGTCCTAAATGCTGTCTTGGCGCAGTCCGATGGTTCGACCCGAATCTGATGGAAACCCCCCCGTAAGTCTATTTTTGAAAACACCCGTGCTGTTCGCAGTTGGTCGATCAGTTCGTCGGCGCGGGGAATGGGGTATCGCGATTTGACTGTTACCCTGTTGAGCGCTTGGTAATCGATGCACATGCGAAACCCTCCGTCTTTTTCGGTGTGAACGGTATCGGTGCGGCGAACGGTGACGAACTTGGTCGAATAAACTGCTTCTCTAACAAATAATCTAACTGCTTCCTTAGTTTGTCGAGCTCGGGCTGTCAAATTATAATATTGTGTAGGCTATAGTGGGGTAGCCTAAATGGGGTACACATTTCTAGGGTTGCATATTTGTATCACTTCCATTCCTTAGTCAATTCATTCTCGTTCTACTCTCCTCATGGTATCGAGCAGGTTCCCCCTTGGGAACTGTGCCTAGGGCCCACCACATCGAGTTAAAAAAAAAAATTCTCTCCTGCCCGAAGCGCGCTCCGCCCGAGTCGCGCTACGGGCTCTCACCTCGCCGAGCCGCCCTAGCGGCCCCTTCCCCTAGCGGCCCCGCCAACCTTCGTTTCGGCCCCGCCGCCCTTTAGTGCGGCCCCGCCGCACGTCACAGCGGCCCCGTCGCCCCGCATGGCGGCCCCGCCGCCCGTCTCCGCGGCCTCGCCGCCCGTCGCTGCGGCCCCGCCCTTACTCAGCGGCCCCGCCACCCTTCCCCTCAGCGGCCCCGCCGCCCTTCTCCTCAGCGGCCCCGCCGCCCTTCTCCTCAGCGGCCCCGCCGCCCTACTCGGCGGCCCCGCCGCCCTTCTCCTCAGCGGCCCCGCCGCCCTACTCAGCGGCCCCGCCGCCCTTCTCCTCAGCGGCCCCGCCGCCTTGCTCAGCGGCCCCGCCGCCCTACTCAGCGGCCCCGCCGCCCTTCTCCTCAGCGGCCCCGCCGCCCTACTCAGCGGCCCCGCCGCCCTTCTCCTCAGCGGCCCAGCCTCCCTTCTCCTCAGCGGCCCCGCCGCCCTACTCAGCGGCCCCGCCGCCCTTCTCCTCAGTGGCCCCGCCGCCCTACTCAGCGGCCCCGCCGCCCTTCTCCTCAGCGGCCCCGCCACCCTGCTCAGCAGCCCCGCCCCCCTACTCAGCGGCCCCGCCGCCTTTCCGCAGCGGCCTCGCCGCCCTTCTCAGCGGCCCAGCCGCCCCTCGCACCAGCGGCCCTGCCGCCCTACACAGCCCGCGCCGCCCGAGCCGCCCGAACCGCCCGAGCCTCCCAAGCCGCCCGACCTGCCCGAGCTGCCCGAGCCGCCCGAGCCGCCCGACTCTCCTGAGCCGCCCGAGCCGCCCGACCAGCCCGAGCCGCCCGAGCCGCCCGAGCCGCCCGAGCCACCCGAGCCGCCTGAGCCGCCCGAGCCGCCTGAGGAGCCGAGCCGCTGGTGCCACGGAGCCGCAGTTGCTGCAGTGCCGTTCGAGCAGCCGTGTTGCCGTGCTGCTGTACCGCTGAGCTGCCCGACCCGCCCAGCCTGGTGAGAGCAGCGCTTCTGTCACTGCACTGCCCCTGTCCTACAGTTGGTACTGCTAGTCCACTGTTGTCATGGCTACCCCCAGTGTTCTCGCTTTTGACGCTGAGGGTCGAGCCATTGACTTTGAGGTTTGGGTGGATGACCTGCAGCTTTTCCTACAGTGCGATAGGGCAGACGGTCTTTCCCTCTTTGACCTCACCTCTGGTGCTTCCCCTGCCCCTGCTGCCGATGCCGACACCAGCGTTCGCTCCCAGTGGGCCACTCGGGATGCTGCTGCACGTCTTGCTGTGCGTCGCCACCTGCCTACCACTGAGCGCGCGCACTTTAGTCAGTACAAGAGTGCTCAGACCTTGTACGACGCTGTCGTTGCACGCTACTCCTCCCCTGCCACTGCTGCACTGAGCCGCCTCATGCTACCGTACCTCTTTCCTGACCTTGCTGCCTTTCCCACAGTCGCTGACCTCATTACGCACCTCCGCACTAGTGACACTCGCTACCGCGTCGCGCTTCCTGCTGAGTTCTGCGCCAAGAACCCCCCCACCCTATGTACATCACTCTCTATTATATAGTCACCCGCCTCCCTGACTCCCTTCGTGTAGTCAGGGACCACTTCCTCTCAGTCTGTCCCACCACTCTCACTGTTGACCTCCTAGAGAAGGCCCTCATAGCAGCGGAGAAGAGCATAGTCGCTGTAGGAGCCTCTTGTGGTGACCCTCGCACCCCCATCTTTGAGGGGTGTTCCCCTTCCCCCCTGTTGCCCTCTGTCGCCTCTGCTGCTGCGGGCGACCTCGTTGGTCTTGAGTCGGTCGGAGTGGCGTCTGCCCCTAGCGGGAGACGCCGCTCTGGCAAGGGCAAGGGGGGCAAGGGCGCGGGTGGGGCTAGCGGGGATGGTGGAGGTGGCGGTGGAGGCGGCGGGGGGAGTGGGGGTGGCGGTGGGAGTGGTGGCGGGGGTGGAAGTGGCGGTGGCAGCGGCGGAGGCGGAGGCGGCGGTGGCGGTAGCGGTGGGAGCGGAGGCGGCGGTGGCGGCGGAGGTGGAGGCGGTGGTGGTGGAGGAGGTGGAGCTGGTCGGGGTGGTGCTTCTCAGCGGAGCGGCTCCGGGAGTGGTCAGCGCCACCAACAGCAGCAGCAGCAGCGTTCTCGGGACATCCCCCCTCCTCAGCAGCTCCGTGAGTGGTACACGCAGCGTCAGCGTGGTGGGGGTTTTGGCCCGTGCACCTACGTCCTTCGCTCCGGCGACCGCGCGGGTGAGCAGTGTGGGGGTGCTCACCCCACCCAGCGCTGCTTTGGCCGCCTGACGGACGCTTGGCGTCACCAGTTCCCGGAGGCTAGTGAGATCCCCCGCTGGGGAGAGCTGTCTAGGGCAGGCGTAGCTATCTTTGATCTTGACTTTGATAATATCCTTGCTGCCATGTATGCTGTGACTATTAGTGATGAGGGTGACTGTTACCGGTGTTTCCCGCCCGACCCGGGCATTGGTACTGCTGCTCTAGGTACTGGTGAGGCTGCTGCTCTAGGTGCCAGTGCGTCCGCGCCCTCAGGTGCTGGTGAGTCTGCGCTCTCAGGTACCACGTCGGCTTCGGCCTCCCTCACCTTCACACTTGACTCAGGGGCTTCTCGCTCCTTCTTTCGAGACCGCACCACACTCACGCCGCTTGGTCGGCCAGTTGCAGTCTCCCTGGCAGACCCCTCTGGGGGTCCTGTCCTCTCTCACTTCTCCACTGTCCTCCCGTGTCCGGCTGCCCCCTCTGGCACCTTGTCTGGTCTTTACCTCCCCTCGTTCTCTACGAACTTGGTGAGTGGTGCTGACTTGCAGGATACGGGGGCTCACCAGTTCACTCCTGCGAGTCAGCGGGTGACCCACTGCACGGACGCTCGGACAGGCCGACACCTGGCCACGTTTACACGTCGGCCGGGGTCGAGCCAGTACACACTGACCACTGCGTCTCCTCCAGTCACTGCGTCTGGTCAGGTAGCTGCGTCGGGTCAGGTGTTTGCTGCAGCGTCCAGGTCTGGTCCTGAGTCTGCCCCCTGCTCGTGTTGTCAGAATCCCAACCACTAGACCATTGGGATAAAAGGGCTTGTTTCAGTAGCGGGTCAGTGCGCCCATAACCCCCCAGGCAAACGCGCCTGTAACCCCCCCTAGGATCGATCGGGGATCTCACAGTGTAGCTCTACTGACACCCCCCCACACTGGGAGGCCCAGGACTGAGCACAGTGGCAACGGCCAACATGTGCATACACCGGGATTCGAACCCGAGACCGCTCTGATACCATGTCAGAATCCCAACCACTAGACCATTGGGATAAAAGGGCTTGTTTCAGTAGCGGGTCAGTGCGCCCATAACCCCCCAGGCAAACGCGCCTGTAACCCCCCCTAGGATCGATCGGGGATCTCACAGTGTAGCTCTACTGACACGTGTCGCCTCCTGTCTCACGAGACTCTCCTCTGGCACCACCGTCTTGGTCACCCCTCCCTGCCAGGTCTCCGAGGCATGGCTTCCCGTGTCCTTGTCTCTGGTCTTCCCCGGTCCCTCCCTCCCCTTCCTCCGGGGCCTGGTCCTTCCTGTGTCCCCTGTGTCGAGGGGCGGCTCCGAGCTGCCCCTCACTCCTCTCAGTTTCCCCCGACAGAGGCCCCGCTGCAGACGCTTCACATGGACGTGTGGGGCCCAGCCCGCGTCCGTGGACAGGGTCACGAGCGCTACTTTCTGCTGGTGGTTGACGACTACTCGCGTTACACCTCAGACTTCCCCTTGCGCAGCAAGGGTGATGTCACTGAGGTGTTGATCGACTGGATCCGCGCAGCTCGTCTTCAGCTCAGGAGGAGCTTCGGCTCGGACTTTCCTGTTCTGCGTCTGCACTCTGACCGAGGCGGAGAGTTCTCCTCTGGCCTTCTGCGAGCCTACTGTCGTGCGCGAGGCATCCGCCAGACCTTCACACTACCGGACTCTCCACAGCAAAATGGGATTGCTGAGCGCCGCATTGGCATGGTCATGGACGTCGCTCATACGTCCATGATGCATGCGGCTGCCCCCCATTTTCTGTGGCCGTTTGCGGTTCGGTACGCGGCGCATCAGATCAACCTTCACCCCAGGGTCTTCAGGCCGGAGACCTCCCCAGCCTTGCTATGGACGGGGAAGGTCGGCGATGCGTCTGCGTTCCGTGTCTGGGGATCTCGGGCGTTTGTCCGCGACTTGTCTGCGGACAAGCTGTCCTCTCGTGCTGCTCCCTGTGTCTTCCTTGGCTTCCCCCCTGACGCCCCTGGGTGGCCGTTCTACCACCCCACCTCTCGTCGTGTTCTGTCCTCCCAGGACGTCACGTTCGACGAGTCAGTCCCCTACTACCGCCTCTTCCCCTACCGCACTCCTTCCCTCCCCCCACCACCGCACTTCCTTGTGCCAGGTCCCCCCCCGGTAGACCCCCTCCCCCCTCAGGGTCCTGCCCCTTCAGGTTTGTCCCAGGTAGACGCAGTCGAGCCGGTCGAGGTTGCTGGTGACTCTGGTACTGCTGCGGGTGCTGAGCTTGGGGGTGCTGACTCTGGGAGTGCTGCGCGCGTGGGTGCTGAGCCTGGGGGTGCTGAGTCTGGGGGTGCTGCAACTGGGGGTGCTGAGCCTGGGGGTGCTACGACTGGGGGTGCTGAGCCTGGGGGTACTGCGTCTGGGGGTACTGAGCCCGGGGGTGCTACGACTGGGGGTGCTGAGCCTGGGGGTGCTGCGTCTGGAGCTACTGAGCCTGGTGGTGCGGAGCCAGCGGCTGCTGGACCTACCCGTGTGGCGTCTGGCGGTACTGGGCCTGGGGGTTCTCCGGGTGCTTCGTCTCGGCGGGAGCCGCTCTCTCCACAGGAGCTGCGCGAGTGGTTTGCCCGGCGCTGGAGGCGTACTGTTGGAGCTGGTGCTTCTTCGGCTGCTGAGGGTTCTAGTGCCGCCGGTCTTGGAGGTGCTCGCCCTGGGAGTGCTGGAGCTGCTGGGCCTGCGAGTGCGACTGGAGTCGGAGCTGCTACGGGTGCTGTTGGTGCTGCTGGAGGTACTGGAGCTGGAGGTGCTGTTGGCGCTGGTGCTGCCACTGGGGGTGCTGGTGCTGTCCCTGCTGTGTCTGGAGTCGCCGCGCGGCCTCGGCCGTACTTTGTTCCGCTCCTTCAGCAGGTTCTTGGTCTTCCTCCTCCCTTAGAGTGTCCACCGCCTGTCCAGTCACAGTCACAGTTCCCGCCGGCCTCCCCACTGCCTGCTCCTTCTCCCTACACTGGTCCCACTGGAGGTCTTGCTGAGCGTCGTGAGCCTGCGTCTCGTCTCGCGTCGCCTGTTCGTGCTACTTGCGCTGGTGGTCGCGGTTCGCGTCAGCGTCCTCCTCCTGTCCCTGGCACGCACCGGATGTCTCTGCGTCCGTCCACTTCTCCTTTGCGTGTCCCTTTGCCTTCTCCTCCTGAGTCCTCTCTTCCTGCTCATCCCGACCTGGAGTCGGACTCTCTTCGTGCTGCCAGTCCTACCGTCACGCGTCTCCTTGCTACTGTCGTCACTGACCCCTCTTTTGAGTCCACTGCTGCGTCTGCTCTTGCTGCTGAGCTCGTCGACTTTGCTGCTCGCTGTCGTCTAGACTACGCTGCTGGTCTTGTTGCTGAGTCTGCGTCTGCCTGTCCTCCGTCCGTCGGGGGTGAGTGTGCTCTTGGCACGGACGTCCTTGAGGACAGGCTGGAGGAGTTCCAGTGTCTGGCTGCTGCTTCACCTCATCTCGTGTCCGTACTGCTTACCCCTGAGGGAGACACGGATGCACTAGACATCCCGACTCCGCGCTCTTACGCGGAGGCGATAGAGGGTCCCTACTCCTCTCAGTGGCAGGCAGCTATGGATGCAGAGATGGCTTCCTGGAAGTCCACAGGCACCTACGTTGACGCGGTTCCTCCTCCTGGGGCGAACATCGTCAGTGGCATGTGGATCTTCAGGGTGAAGCGGCCGCCGGGCTCTCCACCTGTCTTCAAGGCGCGCTATGTGGCTCGTGTCTTCAGTCAGCGGCAGGGAGTTGACTACTTTCAGACCTTCTCTCCCACCCCGAAGATGACCACTCTTCGGGTGCTGCTACACATAGCCGCTCAGCGTGACTACGAGCTTCACTCTCTTGACTTCAGCACTGCTTTCCTGCAGGGTAGCCTGCACGAGGAGATCTAGCTGCGCCGTCCACCTGGCTTCACTGGGACTTTCCCTCCCGGCACCCAGTGGAGCCTCCGACGGCCAGTCTACGGTCTCCGCCAGGCACCGCGCGAGTGGCACGACACACTGAGGACTACGCTTGCGGCTCTTGGGTTTGCTCCCTCTACTGCTGACCCGTCGTTGTTTCTGCGCACCGACACCTCTCTGCCGCCGTTCTACATCCTCGTGTACGTCGACGACTTGGTCTTTGCCACACCTGACACTGCTGGACTCGCCCACGTGAAGTCCGAGCTGCAGAAGAGACACACGTGCATAGACCTGGGTGAACTGCGCAGCTACCTTGGCTTGCAGATCACCCGGGACAGAGCACGTCGCACCATTACCCTGACTCAGTCACACATGGTGCAGCAGGTCCTTCAGCGCTTCGGCTTCACGTACTCCTCGCCTCAGGCCACTCCTCTGTCTACTCGCCACTCGCTCTCAGCTCTGCCTTCGGATGAGTCCGTAGAGTCGAGTGGCCCGTACCCAGAGCTTGTTGGCTGCCTCATGTACCTGATGACCTGCACACGACCTGACCTCGCATACGCTCTTAGCATTCTTGCACGCTATGTTGCTCCTGGGAGACACAGACCAGAGCACATGGCTGCAGCGAAGAGGGTGTTGCGCTACTTGTGCAGTACGTTGGGCATGGGGCTAGTGCTTGGAGGGCGGAGTCCAGTGGTCCTTACTGGGCACGCGGACGCTTCTTGGGCTGACGACCAGGCTACGCAACGGTCGTCACAGGGTTACACCTTCAGTCTTGGTTCCGGCTCTGTTTCGTGGCGGGCTACTCGCTCGTCTTCTGTTCTCGGCTCCAGTTGTGAGGCTGAGATCTACGCCGGGGCCATGGCTGCACAGGAGCTTCGTTGGCTCACCTACCTGCTGACTGACCTAGGAGAGCCGCCTCGTTCTCCTCCAGTGGTGTATGTAGACAACAAGGCCATGCTGGCCTTGTGTCGGGATCAGCGCTTGGAGCACAGAACGAAGCACATTGCTCTCCGCTACTTTCTTGCTCATGAGTTGCAGCAGCGTGGTCAGTTGCGACTTGCGTACGTGGCCTCTGAGGCTAACACTGCTGATGTTTTCACCAAGGCACTTGCGCCTTGTGATCATCAGCGCTTCTGCACTCAGCTGGGTCTTGTACCTGTCTTGCCTCACTTGCTCACCACTTGACCTTGCTTGTACCCTTCCATATATATATTTACCTGCTCTTGCTTGTTTAGCCTTATATATATGTGTACTCCTGCATGTGAACTGGCCTTGTGGCCTTGACCTTGTGCTCGAATTGTGTGGTGACGTTGTGATCCACCCTGAGCTTTGTCTGCTTTGCTTGACTGGTCTTGTGACCCCTTGTTCTCCCCCACTTTGCCTATGGGGGTGTGTCAAATTATAATATTGTGTAGGCTATAGTGGGGTAGCCTATATGGGGTACACATTTCTAGGGTTGCATATTTGTATCACTTCCATTCCTTAGTCAATTCATTCTCGTTCTACTCTCCTCACGGGCTGTGTCAGTCTGAACTGGCGTTGTACAGTTGGCTGTGCCCTCGGTTCTAACTCGATTCTATGATCATGCGCCTGCTGAGGTGGCAGCCCTTCCGATAAGTCGTATGGAAAAATCCCCAGGTACCGTTTCAACAGTTCCTTTAGTTCGGGCGGTACTGCTGCCAGCAGTTTCTGAAAATCGCTCGGCTACTTCGCTTCTCCTACTAATGCTATATCTACTGCGTACATGTCAGCTCCAGCGGCGACAACCCGTTTCATCGTGATGGCGTTGACGTGGACCGTTGAAGACTCGGGCGACTGCCAGCGAGGTAGCTCGACCCAGTTACCACTACTTCGCACGGTGCAGCTACCCGTCGTCCAGTCGATTCGCGGGTTACACCGTCGCAGCCAATCACGTCCCAGTAAAATATCGTGCCCATCCAGTGTCGTTGCGAGCATTTCCTGTGTAAACCCGAAAGTTCCCCCGCAACGGACTTTGACTCGCTCTACCTTTTCCCGTATGGCCAGTGGCGTGCCGTCGACTAAGCGTGCGTCTATCTCCGGTAAGCAACGGCTAAGTGTCAGCTGTAGTTTTCGTGCGGTTGCGGTATTAACTAAACTGTGGCTTGCTCCTCCGTCGATAAAAATCTTCACTGCTGCTCCCTGTATTTTCCCGTGGATCAGTACTGGGCAATCCGTCGCTGTACCCTCCTTATTCATCCTAGCCCGATCGATGGCGTGAATCGGTACTGTGACTCGGTGAGGGTCGGTGCGGTTGGGCGAGCAGGCAGTCTCGTCAGTAGTTGGCCCAACTTCTACTGACTGCTGGCGTTTCCCTGCCTCTGAGACTCCCCCCCCTGCTCTGCTCCGCGGCGCCTTAGCTCCTCTGGGCATTCGCTCTTGCGATGGCCCGGCCTGTTGCAAGCAAAGCAGCGCCCCTTAAACGGTGCGGCAGCTGCATTCGTTGCAACAGCGTTTACGGTGGCGTGCTCGATCGGTCCCCGAGGACGATGTCCGTAGTAGGACCCCGGTCTCGGTCGGCGTAGAATGTCGATTTTCTCGGCGAGCGCGAGAATCTCGTTGAAGTTTGAGAGTCCGCGCAGCATGATTTCGTGCGAGATATCCGGCTTCAGCCCTCCGACGTAACGGTCCACCCGCTCCGCTTCGTGCATGTAGCCGACCTGCTCGCAAAGTGCGAGAAAACCGCTCGTGTAATCTTGAACCGACCCGAGCTGCCGCCAAGTGCGCAATCTCTGACGCGCCGAAATAGAAGCCGCGATCAACTCGAAGCGCGCCTGAAGCCCTGCGCACCACGCATCCCACGTGCTGTATTGGGCGGTCTCGCAGAAAGAATTCCAGGTGACAGCTGGACTCGTGGGCCCTTCCTCTTGCTACGGTGGCTCGTAGGCGCGTGGCGACGTCACGATGACTCGCCACCAGTCCATGGCGGGGCCCTTTGACAGCGAAACGGCATACCGAATCTTCGCTGCGTCCGACTCGACGTAATTCGCGTCGAAGAAGACGTTCATCGTGAAAACCCACGATTGAACCGTCGGACCTCCACGTTGGCTTGGGTCGAAGCAGGGCGGGCGTTGCGGCTTGAGTGGCATGGGTGCCATAATGGCCTGTTCGCCACTTGTCGCCGCGAACTCCACGTGCCGACGGGCTTCACGAGGCTCCCGCGGGCTTGGTGCGACCCTGTTTCCTCCCATGCCAGGCATCGGCTGGGCGGCGCCATCACTGGCTGCGCCTGAGCGTTGTCCCACGCTGTCATGTTGCGTTGGTGTGCCGGACGAAATGACGATCGGCTCGTCCGATTGTGCAGATGCATTTGTCGGTGCGTGTGGTGGCGCTGAAATGTCACCGTGGATTGCTGACGTGCGGAGTCACGTTCCGCCGTGAGCGTCGCAATTTCGAGCGCCGAATCTTCAAGTTGGCGCACCAGACGGTCGAGCTGCTCCTGTGTCAATTTGGCGAGCGTGAATTCGGCCATGGCGGGGGTGTCGGGCGAGCTCAGCGAGAGCCTCGGTCGTGGCCGTGCGTGCTTACGAGAGAGCACTACGAGCGGCGGTGCTGTGTCGCTGAGGGACGTCTACCCCCCCCCCCCCCCCAAAATTGAGATAGTGGGGAAGCAAAGGTGTGGGTGCGGTCCGAGAGGAGATCGTAGGCTCTGATTACCAAGTGTTACGAGTGCAATTGAGTGAACGAACGAGAATTGCTCTATCGAAGCAAGAGTACAATGAGCGAAGGCATGAGCGAAGAATATATAGCGAAACTACAGTGGTAACGGTAATGGACTGTGGTTGTCGCGCGACGGGCCTGGGACTGAGGTTGGGAAAAGTGTCGAAGCGGAGGCCCGGGGCGCGGGTTACCCGCCGAGCCGTGAGGTCGGGGTGCGACGTGCGAAAGTGGCGGGCGGATTGTCGATGCGAGGATTGCGAGTGGTAACGGTGCTGACTGTGGTGCTACAGTGATGTACGCGTTGAGCAGGGATGCGAAGTAAGGAAAAGGAATTTTCCTTACAAGCTACCTGCTTGGGCCGAGAAATGGCGTACAACCAGGCCAATCAGCAAAAACCAACAAGCCTCCACCTACTCTGCACGCACGTGACTCTTCACTTCACCGTTTCACGTAACACCCACCTCCTTGTGTTACGGATCGCGCGGCTCCCTGCAGTGTACCGCATTGCCCGGGACTGGAGCCTACTGTACTCGAAGGCGACGGACGAATGAGTGGGTTGTTGACGTTCATCTCCCCACCAGCAACCTACAGGCAGACAATTCCACAGAAACTGCTGACGAACACTTTGCCCAACCATTTGCAATTGAGCTCCTGGCTTTTTTGCAACTGCCTTCATTTTAGGGTTTTCTTGCCAGGTCCTTACAGCAGTTGTCAAGCGGAAGTTGCTAATGTTGTAATTGATGCAATTCTCTGCAGTAATTTCCAGTGCCTATTCGCCGTACTCCTACTAACGTCTCATCTGCCTCGTATTAAGTCGGAAGTCTCGATTCGTCATAGCTTGGAAATATTGATTAGCATTGGCAGTGTTGCAACTCCATGGCCGTCTCGCTTTTGGGAATGATAGTACAAAGGCGTCTATTTATACGTAGTGGGTAGTTTAGAGTTTCTATTTGGAGCATTTATTCTTTGGGAAGCCATGGACCGGTCAGTGTTGGATCGTCCCGCGATAGATCGTCGGATGATGCTGCTCAGCCGCAGTCGCCGTGAGCACGACGGAGATTCCGATTCAGAGGAAGCGTATTCAGTCGGAAGAGATGACGTGGATCGTTCTGATTCGCTCAGCCGGGCCTTCGCTCAGGTCAGATACCAGCAGGTGGCTAGCGTCCCAGTAGCCGACATATCAGACCTGCTTCGCGACCATGCGACAAAGCATCTCAAAAGCGCGCGATCCTGTGAAGTCCTGGCACAATGGAGTGCCTGCGTCGTTGCTTTTCCGAAATGGATTTTTGGCCTAGTGTGCGTTTCTGGGTATGCTCGTGTGTGCGCTCGAACGTTCGTGTCTGGTTCGTGCGTTCCTTTTCCCCAATGCTGGCAGCAAGCGAACGTGGGGGACTACCGGGGAAGAGGAGGGGAGTCGCGGCAAGTGCGGGAAGAGGAGGAGGAGGACGAGGACGAGGAGGAGTACACCGTGGAGGTGTGGGACGCGCTTGACTCCCTAGAACAGGTAGGGGGGTGGGTGGAGGGAGGAGCATGGGCCTGCGAGGAGCAGGAGGGCGAGATTGTGCGTGGAGATGTGAGAGTGGAACACCGGTGAACGCATGGGGCTGCACCCACAGTGTGCCTCAAGCACCCCCGCTCAACCCGCAGATGTGTGTGCTTGCTCACCCCCGCTCGTTGCCTCGCCCTCGTCCTCCCTTCCGTCTCCGCACTCTTATCACTGTCCGCCATTCCCTTCTCCCCCCTCCCCACCCCCTCCCGCGCTTCTCCACTGTCCTCGACCCCACGGCGTCCCCATGCGCGCGTGCGGCAGTTAAAGCCCATCATCGCGTCGGGCCCGCGGTGGAAGCTCGAGGAGTTTCTACGAGCCATCGACATCCTCCAGGTGCGCTCGCACGCCCGCATGCTGCTGTAACCACGCTCGCATGCTGATACAGCTACGCTCGCATGCTGCTGCAGGCACGCTCGCATGCTGCTACAACTACGCTCTCATGCAATGGTATAATGCGTTATAATTATCTGTGCTCTGCTTTCTCCCCCTTCCCCCCTCCCCCTCTCCGACGGCGCGCAGGAGATGGCGGAGTTCTTTGAGCGCAACGAGTGCGCGTCGGGCGTGCGCGAGTGCGAGAAGTACATGGCGGTCGCCATGGACCACCTCGTCGACGAGTTCCGCGACGCGCTCGTCAAAATCAGGTGCGCGCGCTCGCATGCACGCACGCATGCACGTGGGTGACTGAGATCGCAATGGAGCAGGGGATTGCAATAGGGAGGGACGGGGGCGCACATGAATGAATGGGGTGGGATGGAGTGCAGCAAGCGTGCGAGCGAGTGCAACGTGTTTGAGCTGGTGAGAAACGCCTCCACGCTGTTACCCCACGTTGTTCCCACCACACCCACTTCCCTCCCTCCCCCCATCCCCGCGCACGGCCCTGTGGCTCGGCGCGCAGCAAGCCGTTGCCAGCAGCCATGCTGCGCGAGGTGGCCATGTCAGCGCACGCGGGCCGCCTCGTCGACCAGCACCAGGGCGGCGCTGCTGCTGCCGCCGCCGCCGTGCTGGCGGGCGCGGCGGGCCCGGGCGTGCCGCGCACGTCCACCGGATCCTCGTCCGCGTCGTCGCACCTGCCCACGTCGCGCTCGCGCACCGCCAACACCACCTCGTCGCCCGACTCGTCGGGGTCGTCGTCGCCCGTGGGGGGTGGGGGGTCCGCCACGGCGCACGCGGTGTCAGCCGCCACGCACCTGGCGCTGCAGGACTGGCTGTCCGCCAGCGCCGTGCCCTTCCTGCACCGCATGGCCGTCAAGCTCGCGCAGGGGGGCGAGTCGCAGCGCTGCATGCAGCAATACGTGTGAGCACTGACAAGAATGATTTCCGTCGCCTGTCACTTTTGCTTCCTATCAATCCTCCTCTTTTCCTCCTTCCTATTATCCCCCCACTGTTTTCCTTGGCCGCTTTTCCTGTCTGCTTCCCTCTCCAACCCTCCGAACGCGCCCTCTTCCTCCATTCCCTGCCCTCATTCTCCCCCAACTCTTACCCCTTCCCCCCTTCCTCATTCACACGAACAGCAAGGTGCGGGCGGAGGCCATTCAACGAAGTGTAGACGCGCTGGACATCAAGAGAGTGCTGACGACATCACTGGAGGAGATGACGTGGCAGCAGCTGGAGGCGCTAATGAAGGGATGGGTCACGGACATGCGAGCCATGGTGGGTCACAGACATGCGAGCCATGGTGGGTCACAGACATGCGAGCCATGGTGGGTCACAGACATGCGAGCCATGGTGGGTCACAGACATGCGAGCCATGGTGGGTCACGGACATGCGAGCCATGGTGGGTCACAGACATGCGAGCCATGGTGGGTCACAGACATGCGAGCCATGGTGGGTCACGGACATGCGAGCCATGGTGGGTCACAGACATCCGAGCCATGGTGGGTCACAGACATGCGAGCCATGGTGGGTCACGGACATGCGAGCCATGGTGGGTCACAGACATGCGAGCTATGGTGGGTCACAGACATGCGAGCCATGGTGGGTCACAGACATGCGAGCCATGGTGGGTCACAGACATGCGAGCCATGGTGGGTCACGGACATGCGAGCCATGGTGGGTCACAGACATGCGAGCCATGGTGGGTCACAGACATGCGAGCCATGGTGGGTCACAGACATGCGAGCCATGGTGGGTCACAGACATGCGAGCCATGGTGGGTCACAGACATGCGAGCCATGGTGGGTCACAGACATGCGAGCCATGGTGGGTCACAGACATGCGAGCCATGGTGGGTCACAGACATGCGAGCCATGGTGGGTCACAGACATGCGAGCCATGGTGGGTCACAGACATGCGAGCCATGGTGGGTCACAGACATGCGAGCCATGGTGGGTCACAGACATGCGAGCCATGGTGGGTCACAGACATGCGAGCCATGGTGGGTCACAGACATGCGAGCCATGGTGGGTCACAGACATGCGAGCCATGGTGGGTCACAGACATGCGAGCCATGGTGGGTCACAGACATGCGAGCCATGGTGGGTCACAGACATGCGAGCCATGGTGGGTCACAGACATGCGAGCCATGGTGGGTCACAGACATGCGAGCCATGGTGGGTCACAGACATGCGAGCCATGGTGGGTCACAGACATGCGAGCCATGGTGGGTCACAGACATGCGAGCCATGGTGGGTCACAGACATGCGAGCCATGGTGGGTCACAGACATGCGAGCCATGGTGGGTCACAGACATGCGAGCCATGGTGGGTCGCAGACATGCGAGCCATGGTGGGTCGCAGACATGCGAGCCATGGTGGGTCGCAGACATGCGAGCCATGGTGGGTCGCAGACATGCGAGCCATGGTGGGTCGCAGACATGCGAGCCATGGTGGGTCGCAGACATGCGAGCCATGGTGGGTCGCAGACATGCGAGCCATGGTGGGTCGCAGACATGCGAGCCATGGTGGGTCACAGACATGCGAGCCATGGTGGGTCACAGACATGCGAGCCATGGTGGGTCACAGACATGCGAGCCATGGTGGGTCACAGACATGCGAGCCATGGTGGGTCACAGACATGCGAGCCATGGTGGGTCACAGACATGCGAGCCATGGTGGGTCACAGACATGCGAGCCATGGTGGGTCACAGACATGCGAGCCATGGTGGGTCACAGACATGCGAGCCATGGTGGGTCACAGACATGCGAGCCATGGTGGGTCACAGACATGCGAGCCATGGTGGGTCACAGACATGCGAGCCATGGTGGGTCACAGACATGCGAGCCATGGTGGGTCACAGACATGCGAGCCATGGTGGGTCACAGACATGCGAGCCATGGTGGGTCACAGACATGCGAGCCATGGTGGGTCACAGACATGCGAGCCATGGTGGGTCACAGACATGCGAGCCATGGTGGGTCACAGACATGCGAGCCATGGTGGGTCACAGACATGCGAGCCATGGTGGGTCACAGACATGCGAGCCATGGTGGGTCACAGACATGCGAGCCATGGTGGGTCACAGACATGCGAGCCATGGTGGGTCACAGACATGCGAGCCATGGTGGGTCACAGACATGCGAGCCATGGTGGGTCACAGACATGCGAGCCATGGTGGGTCGCAGACATGCGAGCCATGGTGGGTCGCAGACATGCGAGCCATGGTGGGTCACAGACATGCGAGCCATGGTGGGTCACAGACATGCGAGCCATGGTGGGTCACAGACATGCGAGCCATGGTGGGTCACAGACATGCGAGCCATGGTGGGTCACAGACATGCGAGCCATGGTGGGTCACAGACATGCGAGCCATGGTGGGTCACAGACATGCGAGCCATGGTGGGTCACAGACATGCGAGCCATGGTGGGTCACAGACATGCGAGCCATGGTGGGTCACAGACATGCGAGCCATGGTGGGTCACAGACATGCGAGCCATGGTGGGTCACAGACATGCGAGCCATGGTGGGTCACAGACATGCGAGCCATGGTGGGTCACAGACATGCGAGCCATGGTGGGTCACAGACATGCGAGCCATGGTGGGTCACAGACATGCGAGCCATGGTGGGTCGCAGACATGCGAGCCATGGTGGGTCGCAGACATGCGAGCCATGGTGGGTCGCAGACATGCGAGCCATGGTGGGTCGCAGACATGCGAGCCATGGTGGGTCGCAGACATGCGAGCCATGGTGGGTCGCAGACATGCGAGCCATGGTGGGTCGCAGACATGCGAGCCATGGTGGGTCGCAGACATGCGAGCCATGGTGGGTCACAGACATGCGAGCCATGGTGGGTCACAGACATGCGAGCCATGGTGGGTCACAGACATGCGAGCCATGGTGGGTCACAGACATGCGAGCCATGGTGGGTCACAGACATGCGAGCCATGGTGGGTCACAGACATGCGAGCCATGGTGGGTCACAGACATGCGAGCCATGGTGGGTCACAGACATGCGAGCCATGGTGGGTCACAGACATGCGAGCCATGGTGGGTCACAGACATGCGAGCCATGGTGGGTCACAGACATGCGAGCCATGGTGGGTCACAGACATGCCATGGTGGGTCACAGACATGCGAGCCATGGTGGGTCACAGACATGCGAGCCATGGTGGGTCACAGACATGCGAGCCATGGTGGGTCACAGACATGCGAGCCATGGTGGGTCACAGACATGCGAGCCATGGTGGGTCACAGACATGCGAGCCATGGTGGGTCACAGACATGCGAGCCATGGTGGGTCACAGACATGCGAGCCATGGTGGGTCACAGACATGCGAGCCATGGTGGGTCACAGACATGCGAGCCATGGTGGGTCGCAGACATGCGAGCCATGGTGGGTCACAGACATGCGAGCCATGGTGGGTCACAGACATGCGAGCCATGGTGGGTCACAGACATGCGAGCCATGGTGGGTCACAGACATGCGAGCCATGGTGGGTCACAGACATGCGAGCCATGGTGGGTCACAGACATGCGAGCCATGGTGGGTCACAGACATGCGAGCCATGGTGGGTCACAGACATGCGAGCCATGGTGGGTCACAGACATGCGAGCCATGGTGGGTCACAGACATGCGAGCCATGGTGGGTCACAGACATGCGAGCCATGGTGGGTCACAGACATGCGAGCCATGGTGGGTCACAGACATGCGAGCCATGGTGGGTCACAGACATGCGAGCCATGGTGGGTCACAGACATGCGAGCCATGGTGGGTCACAGACATGCGAGCCATGGTGGGTCACAGACATGCGAGCCATGGTGGGTCGCAGACATGCGAGCCATGGTGGGTCGCAGACATGCGAGCCATGGTGGGTCGCAGACATGCGAGCCATGGTGGGTCGCAGACATGCGAGCCATGGTGGGTCGCAGACATGCGAGCCATGGTGGGTCGCAGACATGCGAGCCATGGTGGGTCGCAGACATGCGAGCCATGGTGGGTCGCAGACATGCGAGCCATGGTGGGTCGCAGACATGCGAGCCATGGTGGGTCACAGACATGCGAGCCATGGTGGGTCACAGACATGCGAGCCATGGTGGGTCACAGACATGCGAGCCATGGTGGGTCACAGACATGCGAGCCATGGTGGGTCACAGACATGCGAGCCATGGTGGGTCACAGACATGCGAGCCATGGTGGGTCACAGACATGCGAGCCATGGTGGGTCACAGACATGCGAGCCATGGTGGGTCACAGACATGCGAGCCATGGTGGGTCACAGACATGCGAGCCATGGTGGGTCACAGACATGCGAGCCATGGTGGGTCACAGACATGCGAGCCATGGTGGGTCACAGACATGCGAGCCATGGTGGGTCACAGACATGCGAGCCATGGTGGGTCACAGACATGCGAGCCATGGTGGGTCACAGACATGCGAGCCATGGTGGGTCACAGACATGCGAGCCATGGTGGGTCACAGACATGCGAGCCATGGTGGGTCACAGACATGCGAGCCATGGTGGGTCACAGACATGCGAGCCATGGTGGGTCACAGACATGCGAGCCATGGTGGGTCACAGACATGCGAGCCATGGTGGGTCACAGACATGCGAGCCATGGTGGGTCACAGACATGCGAGCCATGGTGGGTCACAGACATGCGAGCCATGGTGGGTCACAGACATGCGAGCCATGGTGGGTCACAGACATGCGAGCCATGGTGGGTCACAGACATGCGAGCCATGGTGGGTCACAGACATGCGAGCCATGGTGGGTCACAGACATGCGAGCCATGGTGGGTCACAGACATGCGAGCCATGGTGGGTCACAGACATGCGAGCCATGGTGGGTCACAGACATGCGAGCCATGGTGGGTCACAGACATGCGAGCCATGGTGGGTCACAGACATGCGAGCCATGGTGGGTCACAGACATGCGAGCCATGGTGGGTCACAGACATGCGAGCCATGGTGGGTCACAGACATGCGAGCCATGGTGGGTCACAGACATGCGAGCCATGGTGGGTCACAGACATGCGAGCCATGGTGGGTCACAGACATGCGAGCCATGGTGGGTCACAGACATGCGAGCCATGGTGGGTCACAGACATGCGAGCCATGGTGGGTCACAGACATGCGAGCCATGGTGGGTCACAGACATGCGAGCCATGGTGGGTCACAGACATGCGAGCCATGGTGGGTCACAGACATGCGAGCCATGGTGGGTCACAGACATGCGAGCCATGGTGGGTCACAGACATGCGAGCCATGGTGGGTCACAGACATGCGAGCCATGGTGGGTCACAGACATGCGAGCCATGGTGGGTCACAGACATGCGAGCCATGGTGGGTCACAGACATGCGAGCCATGGTGGGTCACAGACATGCGAGCCATGGTGGGTCACAGACATGCGAGCCATGGTGGGTCACAGACATGCGAGCCATGGTGGGTCACAGATATGCGAGCCACAGTGGGCAGGGCCTGGGGCGTGGAGCTGGGCTTGGGGCTGGGGACTGGCTCGGACTTGGGGCTGGGGACTGGCTCGGGCTTGGGGCTGGGGACTGGCTCGGACTTGGGGCTGGGGACTGGCTCGGACTTGGGGCTGGGGACTGGCTCGGACTTGGGGCTGGGGCAGGGGTTGAGGATGGAGGTGGTGTGATCCATGATTTGGGAAAGACGTGCCTCTTGAGTGATTGCTGCGGGCGTGACTGCCTGCATGGTGCTGTTGCCGTTTCCTCCCTCTCACACGCCCCTACCTCTCCTCGCTGCCGTGCCTGCCACTGACCACGGCAGGTGTTGGTGCTGCTGGGCAGCGAGCGCGTGCTGTGTGACGAGATATTCGACTCCCTCGAACCCGACAGAGAGCTCTGCTACCTCTCCCTCATTCAGGTGACCCCTGCTTCCTCCCACCCCAATCTCTTCGCAAGTCTGTTCCAGATGTCTCTCCACCATCGTGTTCGCCTAAAATCTCCCCTATTCACCCTTAACAAGCCCTGTCCCTCCTCCCCCGTTCCTCCTCTCCCCACTCCTGCGCGCAGGCGAGTGGGCTGGCAGCAACGGTGGAGGCGGTGGTGAGCAACGGGCGGGTGGTGGCGTCGGGGCGCAACACACCGGAGCGCCTCTTTGCGCTGCTCGACATGTTCACCACCGGCCGCGAGCTGCGCGCCCAGGTGGGGGGGGGGGGGGGGGAGGAGCGGGGGGGGGAAGAGTAGGTGGGGAGGAGAGGGGGGTGTGAGCGAGGAAGGCCACAGGTGGAGGGCGGAGGGTCGCAGGTGGGGTAAGGAGGCTGGAGATGCGCGCCCGAGTTTTGTCTCCCTGTGCTTCCCGTCAACTTCCTGAAAGCCTTTCAAACACTTCCCCCGCCTGCCCTTCCCACCCTGGCCGTTTGCTTGGGGATCAGATCGAGGCGGTGGTGTCGGTGCCGGGGTTTGGCAGTGTGCTGCGCGAGATGGAGCGGCTGCCGCGCGACCTGGCGGGTGCGGTGATGGACACCATCGGCGAGTTCAAACGCGTGCTCGAGGAGCCGCCCGCGCACCACCAGGCGCACAGCCAGGACAAGAAGAAAGGGTGAGCGGGGAGAGGGGCTGGGGATGGAAGGCGGGCGGGATGGGACAGGCATGGGGTGTGGCAGCTACAATAGCATGTGACACCACCTCCTGCACCCATCCTGTGTCCGCCCTCTGTGTTTGACTTCGCCTGGCCAGTGTTTCTCCCCTCACTCTGCCTCTTCTATCTCCCCTGACCACCCGCTCGAGCACAATCTCACTTCTTCATCCCATCCCACCCCGCCCGTGTGCCCTTGTGACCGCAGCATGCTGAAGCCGTTCCTGCGCAGTGCGAGTGCGAGCAGTGGGGCGGACACGGGGCCCGTGGAGGAGATGGAGGTCGCGACGGCCGCCACACACCCCCTCACCTCCTACGTCGTCAACTACATGAACAATCTCCTCGATAAGTGCGTGCGCGGTCTCCTCCTGTCACCCTGCTCTCATTTCCGATGTCCATGTGTTAGGCTTACAGCACCAGGTTGTGGAATTGACCGTGGCGCAGTTGAAGCTAGCAGCTTGATGTACGGAAATGGATGGATGGATGCAACGCATGGGTGCACTGACCCCACTGGAGTTGTTATGGAATTCCTGTGGTGGTGAGCAGGCAGAGCAAGCGCAACTACCCGGTGACGTTGGAGTATCTGCTGCTGGAGTACGGCCGCAGCATCACGTCCACCGGCGCCGACGCCACGGCAGCGGCGCTCATAACGCGCAGCGGCCCGCAGTACAAGACGCCCTTCAGCGGCGCCGCTGTGGAGCGGCGGTCGGGCGCGGTGGGGCCAGCAGCGCTGGGGCAGCGCGCAGCCACCCTGGCGGGCGTGGTGTCGTCGGTGCTGGAGTCGCTGCTGCGCTGCCTGGAGAGCCGCGCCAAGGCCGCCTCCGACCCCACCCAGGGCGCGCTCTTCCTCCTCAACAATGCCCTCTACATCTCCAAAAACCTGTGAGCCGCTCAACCCCCTGCAGTGCTGTCAGTACGTGACACTCGTGCCACTCTGTGCGGTGTCCCTTGCAGAGAATCGCACCAGCAGCAGCACCGTATGCTGCCCTGATATGCCTGCGTGCTACTACCATATGTGGCTGGCTGCGAGGATGTGTCTCCCGGTCCACTTGTGGACCTCCACTCCCATGTGCCCATGTGTCCATGCCCTCATGTGTCCACACAACCATGCACCCATGTACCCATCTGTGTGGCGGTGCAGGTCGGATGGCAAGCTGTCAGCTGTGGCGGATCTACCGGACTGGAAGGACGGGCAGATGCTGGACAAGTACATGATCCACTTCAGAGACGCTGTGCTCGCCCGGGTGACTCTTGCTTGCCCTGCCCTGCCATGCCATGCCATGCCATGCCCTGCCTGCGTGGCACATTTTATCAAATGGCAGGATTGTTGTGACATGTGTGCATGAAGCGTGTGTGTGCGGCTGTATGGTGTGTGGCCATGCTTGCTTTAGCAGTTCCGTTTCTGCTTGCATGATTGTGCCCTCCTGGGTCTCATACCTCTATTGCTCCTGTTTGGATGCCATGCCATCTCATTCTCCCACCCCCCTCACCTCCCCCACCTCTCTCAGTTCACCTCCCTCGTTTGCATGCCTGCGCTCCCCCGTGCGCGCATGCGCGCGGCCACAACAGATATCGCACGCACTGGAGGAGACAGCAGTCACGGGGGGGCTGCTCAAGTCGGTCAATGAGCACACGGAGGTCAAGGCCAAGTGAGTCGCGCGGGGGAAGTGGGGTGGGGTGTCTATTTGGACAGGTGGGTGAGCGCCAGTTAGGAGGCTTGACTGTGCGGCCTTGTTGACTCGCTGCTATGCATTGGCCCTCCCTTCTCGCCATGCTACCACAGGCCGTCTCGGCAGTTTTGTCTCCCTCATCCGTGTCACTCCTTCCCCTCGCTGCCATGCATCACCCTGACATGCGCACATGTATGTATGTGTGTGTGTGTGTGTGTGCGTGCGCGCGTGTGCGTGTGTGTGTGCATGTGGGGTGGCAGGCTGAAGAAGTTCAACGCGGCGTTTGAGGAGCTGGCGATAAAGCAGGCGGGGTGGAACATCCCCGATGAGGACCGCCGCAAGAAGACTCGCAGCAGCGTTGCTCGGCGCCTGCGAGAAATCTACTCTGCATTCCTGCTGCCCTACAGGTGCCCTGCCATGCCATGCCCATGCCTTCCTGCTGCCCTACAGGTGCCCTGCCATGCCCATGCCTTCCTGCTGCCCTACAGGCGCCCTGCCATGCCCATGCCTTCCTGCTGCCCTACAGGTGCCCTGCCATGGCCATTCCTTGCTGCCCCCCTCATGGCATGCACAGAGCGCATCCCATCTGTGTGTGTGTGGCTCCACTCGCATGCCACTCGTGCCCTCTTCTCTCTGCTCCCACTCATCTCCATGCGCATGCGCCTCTGCTTGTATTTGTGTCACTCTTACTGTCTGTGCATGTGTGTGTGTGCACATGGGGGTGTCACAGGGAGGAGCTGTGTGAGTTCAAGACGTACCGCTATTCACCGGACGCCATAGAGCGCGTCGTGCTCGACTACTTCTTCCTCGCCACTCCCTCCAGAGGCCTCCCCATCTCCTTTGGCTAGCCTCGCCTCCCCATCTCCTTCCATTAATCACGCCTCCCCATTCGCTTTCCATCTCCTTTCGAGTGCCTCGAAGCTTCCCATCTCCATCATGTCAGAAAGCCACGCCAGCTCGCCCACTCCCTCTCCCTGCACAGCCACTCATTGCTACCTCCACTCGCCGGCACCTTGTCTCAGCAGCGCCTGTGCATCACACGCGCCCCGTTGAGTTGGGAGTGTCGTGGCAAGCCATTCCCCCCACTGGCACGGGCAATAAGGCTTGCTGACAGCGCCCAGTCTGCCTGGCCATGTGGCCCCACCGACAGTAGCAAGGAACAACACACCCACTCAGCGGCACAGTAGCAGTAGCAAAGGCAGCAGTACCCAAAGCATTAGCACCAGTAGCAGTAGCAGCAGTAGGCGCAGTAAATGAAGCAGCAGCAGCAGCAGCAGCAGCAGCAGCAGCAGCAGCAGCAGCAGCAGTGTGCATGGCATGCCAGCATATGCACGGCAATGAGGCAGTGGAGGGGCGAGTGCAGCAGCATACGGTAGATGATGTAGTGATAGCGAGCCATGGTATGGTAGTGGTGTAGGCTCTCTTGCAGCCTTTGCACATGCAATCTCCATTTGGAAGGTGCAGTCCTTGGCACACAGCCCTGTTGATGTTGCACAAGATACTTGCTAGCGAAGATGCTGGTAGTCTGAATTGTACTGTACAATAAGTACAATGTCAGTTGCTAACTAACTTTTGAGAAACAAAATGTGTAACAAACTAGTATGCCAATTATGTTACTAGTAGTAGCCTCAGACCAACTCCAGCATAAGCACACCATCCTTGCCCATTTCTGAGGTTAATCTGTGCCCGTGAGATTCGCTACCACCACCATCACGCTGCCAGCACCTGTGCGGCGTGGAGCTGTGGCAACCAGTGGGGCAAGTGGCCACGCTCACTACCTCTCCCTCTTTGCCCTACCCTTGCCCCTTCTATGGCTCTTCTCCCCCCCTCCCCCTCTCTTGTCCCCCCGCCCCTCCCGCTTCTCCCCCTTGCCCTCCCTCCTGCCCCCCCCCACCAGCTCTGCTGCTTTCTCTGACAGCCGCCGCCGCCGCCTGCCCCGCCCTGATGCCCCCCGCCCCTCTGCAGCCGCCAAAAAGGGGGGTGGGGGGAAAGGGAGGGGTGGGGGGGAGGGTGTGCGAGAGCAAAGGTGGGTGAGGGGGAGAGGGAAGAGCGCAAGGGGAGATGAGTGTGTACAGGTTGCAAAACAACAAGTGGCATTGCTGAACCCAGTGCGTGAGTGGTGTTGGTGGTAGAAGTGAGCGCTGGTAATCAGCGTGAGTGGTGTTGGTGGTAGAAGTGAGCGCTGGTAATCAGCGTGAGTGTTGTTGGTGATAGAAGTGAGCGCTGGTAATCAGCGTGAGTGTTGTTGGTGATAGAAGTGAGCGCTGGTAATCAGCGTGAGTGTTGCCGGTGACTGCATGCACTCACACCGCTCACAAAAGAACCTTTCCTCACCTGAGTCACTGTCAGCGCCAGCCCCGCCACTGCCCTGCCCCTCCCCGTCCTCCCCCTCCGAACCACTCTCCTCCCCATCACTCTCACCCTCCCGGTTCCGCGCCCTGCCCCTCTGCCCCTGCTCCTCCTCTGCATCCTCCGCTGCGCCGTTGGCAGCAGGGGCAGCGGCAGCAGTGGGCGGAGCGGGGGTGGGGAGGGGGTGGGTGGGGAGGAAGAGCAGGGCGTCAGAGGAGTCGTCAGAGTCGCTGTAAGCCGCCACGCGCTCCACCCTCTCTATGTCCACCTCCTCTGATCCACCTCCCTCCTCCCCTGCACCATGCCGTGCGGGCGGGCCCAGCCCCGGGTCGGGCCAGGCGTCGAACTCGTCCTCGCGCTCCACGTACTCCTCGTTCTCCTCCAGCTCACGGAAGTCAGGCGCGAACGCACTCCAGCTCTCGCGGTAGTCCTGCGCCCACAGGTAGATGCTGCCGCCGCCCGCCAGCGACGCCATCACCTTGCGTGTGGGGTGCCATAGCAGGTCCGCCAGGGCCTCCTTGGGGCCCTCGAGGATGCGCACGAGCTGTCCGAAGGCGCGGTTCCAGATGTGGATCTTGTGCTCGCCGCGCGCCGCCACGCCGCCCACCACGAACTCGCCGTCGCCGCTGAAGCAGGCGCTGCGCCACTGCACGCGGTTCACCGCGTCCTGGTACTCCTTCACGAACGTCAGTGCCACCAGCGCGCGCTGCTTGACCCGTGGCACCACCTCGACTGCCCCCGGCCACCCCCCGCCCTGCTTGCTGCCCCCTGCTCGCCCGCTCCCGCGCTCACTGTGCTCTGACTCCCCAGCTGCGCTCTCGCCTCTCTCCCCGTTCTGCTTCGCAACCTTAGTCTCCCCGCCAGCGCCGCTGCCCTGGGCGCCGTGCAGGGCGGCGGTGGCGAGGGAGAAGACGCGCAGCACGCGGTCCGTGCAGTTGGTCAGCAGGAACCGCCCGTCGCGACTCAGCGCCAGCTGGCGGATGCACGCCGCCGCCCATCCAGTGCTGCCGCTGCTGCCACCCGCGGGGGAGGGCACGCCGGGGATGGTGGCGAGGAGGGCGGCATCGGGCACGGAGGCGACGAGGATGTGGCCCGAGGGCGCGCCCACGAGCGCCAGGCTGCCGCTCTTGTCAAACACCGCCGGCCACGGCAGGCTCCCCGCCCCCCCCTCGCCCCCCCCGCCCCTCCCACCTTTCCCTGCCCCGCCCCCCGCGCCATCCGCCTTGGGGGAGGTGGGGAGTGGTCGGAGTTTTCCGGAGGGGAGGTGGAGGAGGGCGGGGGGGGCGCCCATGGGGCAGACGAGCGCGAGGGAGGGGGAGGGGGAGGGGTGCAGGCGCACGTGGAGGGCGGGCTTGGGGAGGGGCACGGAGGTCACGGGGGAGCCCGCCGCCACGTCCCACAGCACCACGCGGTAGGGCGACGGCGGAGCATGCGGCTGCGCAGGGGAGTGCGCGTGCGCGTGGGCGGAGGGGCCCGCGGCGGTGTAGGCGGCGAGCAGCAGGCGGCCGCATTTGGACCATGCGACGCTCGTGACCAGCGACGGGGGAGGAGGGGGAACGGCGGAGGGCGTGGCGGATGGAGAGTCCGCCGTGGCGGGTGAGGGGGTCTCATGGAGGGGCGGGGGGAGCAGCGGGGGGAGCGGCAGCTCCTTGGCCACTCCGCGCGTGTCGAAGTCCCAGATGACGCACACGCCATCCGCGCACCCCGCTGACGTGGGGGATGCGGGGGCAATGCGCAAACGTAAGGGGAAGGGAAAGGGAAGGGGGTGTAAGGGGAAGGGGAGGTGGCCAAGGGTGGGAGATTGATGCGGACTTGAGGCGGGGAAAAATGAGGAGGAGGGAGGGCGCGCACGGGACTGGCCACGATGGCTGTGTGCGGCCGCGCATGCAGCGCCGCGTACCTGCGAGCAGCGTGCCGCGGCGGTTGAAGGCGATGCACTTGGCGGCGCGGTGGTCCAGATACTCCTCGATCACTTCGGGGAAGTCGTTCTGAAACGGATCTGCCTCGGGGCGCGCGCGCCGCCGTTTGTGCGTTGCGACATGCCAAGCAACGGGAAAGACGGGAGCAATGGGACTGAGGCTGAGCCCGGGAGGGCGGCGCACGCAGGAGGAGCGGGCGAGAACGAGGAGAGGGAGAAACGGGGAAGCGAGCGAGGCTGACCTAGCAGGCTGAGATTCATGGCGACTCTCGACCAATGGCTGCACGTTCCAGCATTCGACGAACGCGGCACGTGTAATGAGATAGATGGACGTCCAAGAAAGACGCTTCGGAATTGAGGAATTATGTAGTAAGTTCTAAGACTTCGAATTTCCATGAGGTGGAATGAGCGGTTTGAGATTTGAAATTTACAACACGCTTTCGACGCAACATCGAGGTTGGATATATCGGGGAAAGGTCAACCAATTGCATACGTTCTCTCGTCCCAAAGGTTTGGCCCAAGCGCCCACGTCCAGTCCCCCTGCGACGATTGCAGTCGCCTACCACGACTGGCTGAGAGCCATCCGGCCATTTCACGTCGCACCCGTTTCGTCCACATTTCGCTTCGCCCTGCGACGCATACGACGTCGCCTACTGGCCTCGCCCAGCTACCCCTACCCTCACCTCAAACCCTCACAGCACCATTTTAGCCTGCCACTCACCACCATCCTACCGTTTCCAGCCTAGTTGTACGCTCGCCGCTTCTCTTGCTACCACTGCTGCTACTACCACTATATCCTTTCCTTTAGTTTGCAAGATACCTGCTTTTAGGGTTTCATCGAGACGGCATAGCGGCGCGTGGCATGCGTTACGTGTGAGCGCGCGGTGGAGGAGAGGCGCGGGTCGGCATGGGCTGCTTCCTGTCCGTCGAGGTCGAGGCGCCAACAGCGCCGTCGTCCAAACCCGCAGGTCCGCGCCAATGCTTCCTCGTAGCGCTGCGTATCGCACGCGGTCGTTTCTCACGACGCAAGTGTCACTCACGATGCAGTGTTTCTTGCCGCTCTTACTGCTCCCAGCACCGTATCACCGTTCCTCACCGCCCCCCTTGCCGTCCCGTGCGCAGAGGGCAGCCAATCCACATCGTCGGGGGCTCCTAGGTCTATGAAAAGCGGCGGCTCGAGCGCGGCGTTATCCAAATTAAAGAGCTCCACATCAGGGCTAGGGGCGGACCCAGGTGGGGGAACAGGGCCGCCGCCAGCGCGGCGGCTGAAGCTGAAGGAGTTTCTGACGATCACGAACAGCTTCGACGAGAACGGCGTGCTAGGGGAGGGCAGCTTCGGCAAGGTGTACCGCGGCGTGTGGGAGGAGGCGCCGGCGGGGCGAGGCGGGGGGGGCGAGGTGGTGCGCACGCAGGTGGCGGTGAAGAAGCTCAACCCGGAGAGCTTCCAGGGCTACGAGGAGTGGCTGGTGCGCGCTCCCCTCCCCCACCTCGCGCGCGCCCCGCCCTCCCCGCTTTGTCGCGCACGCTCTACCTCGTTGCTATGCCCCTCACTCCCCGCTCTCGTTTTTGCCACGCGTCTGC